TCTAACCAAACCTAACCAAACCTAACTAAACCTAACCTAACCTAACCAAGCCCTGGCAAACCTATTAAGCCTGGCAAGCCTAGCCAAGCCTAACTAAACCTAACCCTAACTAACCAAACCTAACCAAACCCTAGCAAACTAATAAGCCTAATAAGCCTAGCAAACTAACTAAACCTAACCAACCTAACCAAACCTAACCAAGCCTAATAAGCCTAGCAAACCTAACCCAAACTTCTTCTTCTAACCAAGCCTAGCTTGAAGCCTAGCCAAGCCTGGCAAACCTGTTAAGCCTGGCAAGCCAAGAGCCAGAAGCCTAGCAAAGCCTAACTAACCTGGCCTTATAAGCTGAAGCAACGTTGGTGGTTTAATCTTTACAGGAAATAGAAACAAAGGGTGTTGGGTGAGGGGGGATTCTTCAACGTCCAAACAACCAAACAAAAGAAGACAAGGAAACAAAGACAAGCAAACAAAGACAAGCAAACAAAGACAAGCAAACAAAGACAAGCAAACAAAGACAAGCAAACAAAGACAAGCAAACAAAGACAGGCAAACAAAGACAAGCAAACAAAGACAGGCAAACAAAGACAGGCAAACAAAGACAAGCAAACAAAGACAGGCAAACAAAGACAAGCAAACAAAGACAAGCAAACAAAGACAAGCAAACAAAGACAAGCAAACAAAGACAAACAAACACATAGCTGGCATCTCGTTCCATGAAGGTCGACATTAAGGGCTGGGTTTGTTTACATAAAATTTACCTTCATCTTATCGCAGTTTTTGTCTCGTTTTTTCCACCTGCCTTGATAAGTACGAGTCTGAACCTTCCCTGAGACCACCTGAACCTTTCCTGAGACCATCTGAACCTTTCCTGAGACCACCTGAACCTTCCCTGAGATCATCTGAACCTTTCCTGAGACCACCTGAACCTTCCCTGAGATCACCTGAACCTTTCCTGAAACCACCTTAACCTTTCCTGAGACCAACTGAACCTTTCCTGAAACCACCTGAACCTTTCCTGAGACCATCTGAACCTTTCCTGAGACCATCTGAACCTTTCCTGAAACCACCTGAACCTTTCCTGAGACCAACTGAACCTTTCCTGAAACCACCTGAACCTTTCCTGAGACCACCTGAACCTTTCCTGAGACCATCTGAACCTTTCCTGAAACCACCTGAACCTTTCCTGAGACCAGCCAGACGGCACCACAAAATTTTTCAGAACTTTCGCAAGACCTGAAGACCTTTCCTGAGACCACCTGAACGCTTTCCTGGGACCTCCCCTGGAGCAGCTACAAGGCACACTGAACCTTTCCTGAGACCACCCTGTGAACCCTTTCCTAGGACCTCCTGAACTTTCTGGGACCTCCTGAACCTTTTGAGACCACCTGAACCTTTCTTAAAACCACCTGAACCTATCCTAAGACCACCTGAACCTTCCCTGAGACCACCTGAACCTTTCCTGGGACCGCCTTAACCTTCTGAGACCACCTGAACCTTCTGAGACCAACTAAACCTTTCCTGAGACCATCTGAACCGTCCCTGGGACCACCTGAACCTTTCTTGAGATCACCTGAACCTTTCCTGAGACCACCTGAACCTTTCCTGAGACCACCTGAACATTATCATGACCACCTGAACCTTCCGAGACCACCTAAACCTCCCCTTTGACTTACCTATGGAGGACTGAGTGAACCTTATTTAAACCCGAACCTTAATTCGAACCCCAAATCGAATCCCAACCAGAACCTGACTCACACGGCTAACGTCTAACTGTATCATTACTCCTGACATGTGACTGATTACGGCTGACACACGACTGACTATAGAAGTCCCTCTAATGTCAGCCCCACCAAGCTATCTGTAGGTGACCAATGACAGAGGAGGAAGGAATGAATTATCAAATTGGGCTGTTTGTGTTACAGCCAGAACCTGTCGGGGGGAACGAGACGGTGCTGCCTTACCTGGAGGTGTTAGCCATGAACAACAACCCGCTGTGTAACCTGCCAGCCAAGCTCTTCAAGCCCCTGAGGGAGAGCCCTGTCAAGAGCCTCTTCCTGAGAAACTGTTCCATTGGCCAGTTCTGTGAGTATACTGTGCTGTGCTGTACTACGCTGTGCTCTGCTGTACTACGCTGTGCTTTGCTGTATTTTGCTTCCTCCACCACTGCCTGTGTTATGTTTCCAGTCCAATACCTTTGTTACGCTCCCCTACTGCCTGTGCTATGTTTCCAGTCTACTACCTGTGTTATGCTCCACTACCTGTGTTATGCTCCACTACCTGTGTTATGCTCCACTACCTGTGTATACCCCCACCTGATAACAACCTCTCTCTCTCTCTCTCCCAGCACACGTAGAAGGGTCACCGCTGCAGTACCTGAAGGGGCTGGAGATTCTGGATCTGAGCAAGAACCACGGTCTGTCCCCGGAGGAGTTGGAGGAACTACTGCAGCCGCTGGAGAGAGGCAACCTGAGGGAACTGTACCTCAGCAACAACAACTACGGCCGCGTCCCTACAGGAGCTCTGGAACTAGTGAGTGTCTTGGCTCCTGAGGGTATTGTTATCTCCACGTGTGTGTGTGTGTGTGTGTGTGTGTGTGTGTGGGTGTGTGTAGGGGAGAGAGAGGGAAGAAGGGAGTGATGGATAGATGGATAGAGGGAGGGAGAGAGAAGGGAGCAGGGAAGCAGGAAGGAAAAAGGAAGAAGAACAAGAACAAGAAGGAAGGGAAAGATGAAGGGAGGGAGGAAGGAAATGACAGACAGAGAGAGAGAGAGAGAGGGAGGGCAGTATGATTTACCACTTATGTGCAATTTTCCACTTAAGCGTGCAACACATGGCAGTATACCGTGCAAGACCTCCCTGGGCCGCTCCTTGTGTCTCATGTAAGGAGAGGCAGTCAGGAAACACTTGTCCTTATCACCATCTCAACGAGGGGTTAAGTTAGTGTTTAGTTATACTTATACAGTGTTAAGGCTACGTCACTGAGAACACACACACACACACACATCCGGGGATCTTGTTAACATAGTTAGCCTTAACCACTGACACACACACACACACACTCTCTCTCTCTCTCTCACACATACACACACACACTCTCTCTCTCTCACACACACACACACACACACACTCTCTCTCTATCTCTCTCTCACACACACACACACACACACACACACACTCTCTCTCTCTCTCTCTCACACACACACACACACACACTCTCTCTCTCTCTCTCTCACATACACACACCTACACACACCATCACACACACATCTTTGTCTATTTCCTTACACATTAACAACCAAATTTTATTCTGATCTTTATACAAAATATTCCATAGCTAATTAATCTATTTTTTAACCTAATCGTAAATAACTTTAGTTGAGTCGAACTTTGTATCAACCCATGTTTTTTTTTTTTTTTTTTAATCGCTTTCACACCTTATCAGCTTAACTAGACGTTTAGGTGGTTGGTTTATCCAGTGTTAGTACAGGAGGAAACCAGGAATGATGTTTGGTAATGATAAGGACAACTGGATAACACCCCTCTAGCCGCTGTACCGCCTCACTCCCTCCCCTCCCAGCTGTAGATATATAACACCTGTGGTACTTGTTGTTAATTACAGGTGAACGAGACTCTGGAGATCTTAGACTTGCACGGGTCGGCTTTTGAGTGTCTGGACAACAGCTCCTTCCCTGTTATGAACAAATTGGTCACGCTCAACCTCATGTACTGCCGGATTAATACGGTGAGTGACCTGATCTGACCTTACCCATGTATTGCCGGATTAATATGGTGAGTGACCTGATCTGACCTTACCTATGTACTGCCGGATTAATATGGTGAGTGACCTGATCTGACCTTACCTATGTACTGCCGGATTAATATGGTGAGTGACCTGATCTGACCTTACCCATGTACTGCCGGATCAACACGCGAAGTGACCTAACTTAACCTTGCCACATCTACACGGTGAGTGACCTAATCTAACCCGATAAGTAAATAATTCAACAAGTCATAACAGCAAGTAAACATTTCATAACTAGCGTACCATGATTTACGTATCCATGAACCATACCAAGTGGAAAAAGTCACCTGATACACAATTCACCTAACATGACCTGACAGGGCCCCATCTAGATCTTAAAACGTGTCTAACTTATTTATTTATTTAATCTACAACACAAAGTTTAAGTTGTATGTAGTTATGACAGATACATACAAGGTCAATAAAACTCCATTAGTAGCCACTGTGTACTACCTAACATAACAGTATCTATCTTAACCCAGGTGCAGTACGATACCTTCGATGGCTTCCCTTCATTGAGAGAACTTTACTTAGACAGCAATGGACTGGTTACTGTGCCTCCTGACGTCATGTTACCCACTCTCCACGTACGTTTAAACCCTTATATAGCAATACAAACCACTTAATGTTAATATTTAGTTAGATAATTGAGTATTTTTAATATATTATTTCGAATATTGTGGTTTAGGGTCAAGCTGAAAGTTTTAGTTGAGCTATACATCGACTTTTTGTTACGTTTTCTTTGATTATGCTTTTAGGGTAAACTAAAGTAAAATAATTTAAGAATACGTTTGTACATTATGTGCACTAGGTCGGTGAAATGATGATATGGAAATTAATGTTTTTGTTTCCCCCCCCCCTCTCTCTCTCTCTCTATTTATCTACTTATATCTCTCTCTCTCTCTCTCCTTTTCCTCCCGTATTGCTTCCTCTTGGTTTTTTCTTTCTTATTTTTTTTCTATTCAATCTTCCTAACTCCCTTTCCCTCCTCCCTCCCTCCTACCTCCTCCCTACCTCCTACCTTTCCTCGCCCCCCTCCCCACTCCTCCCTCCCCCCACCTCCCCCCCCCCCACCCTCTCCTCCCCACCTCCCTCCCCCACCTTCCTCCCCCTGCCTCCCCCTCCCCTCACCTCCCTCCCCTACCTCTCCTCCCCACTCCCTCCCTACCCTCCCCTGCCTCCCTCCCCCTACCCCCTCTCCCCACCTCCCTCCCCACCTTCCCCACCTCCTCCTCCCCCACCTCCCTCCCCTACCTTCTCCCCACTCCTCCCTCCCCACCTTCCTCCCCCCCTGCCTCCTCCCCCCACCTCCCTCTCCCTACCTCCCTCCCCCTACCTCTCCTCCCCCTACAGGTGTTGACTCTGAGTGACAACCCTCGTAACACAGGCAGCGGAGGACCTCAAACGTTTAACATGGACGAGGTAATCTTCAGGAACCTCGACTTTCTCACCAATACCTCCTTTGATAGGGTGAGTAGGTGTGTGTGTGTGTGTGTGTGTGTGTTTTATAATGTGTTTGTTGTGTATTTGTGTGTTCAATTGACTCTCTCTCTCAGGTAGTGAAACTCATTACTGGTTTTACGAATATGAAAGTCTGTTATAGAGGGCCTGTTAGATGTAAACTCCATTCAACGGATTATATGGGAGAGAGAGAGAGAGAGAGAGAGAGAGAGAGAGAGAGAGAGAGAGAGAGAGAGTCAATTGAACACACAAATACACACAACAAACACATTATAAAACACACACTACAAAAAAAATAACCCAAATTGTAATTAAGACTGAAAACCTCTTTCTCCCCCACCTCTGGACAGGTGCCGCTGGGACAGGTGAGAGAATCGTACTTCAACACTCTACACAATCTTCAGTTCCTACACCTGTCTACCTGTTGTATTACTCACATCGACCCTAACAGCTTCAGGTAGGTCTAATGCTCACTTAGTTCACAACACACTCTAGCTCAGGGGATAGTACTAACATGCCTGCGGTGGGTACTGAGTGTGAAGTATACGTGATTGGGTTAGGTTAGGTTAGGTTAGGGGTTATGTCAGGGTGGATTAGGTTAGGTTAGGTCAAGGGTTATGTCAGGGTGAAGTTCATTAGTGGCCTATACAGTTTATGCAACAATTGTTACGTTTTCAGGAATTTATCCAAACTGGAGAAACTGTACCTGAACGAGAACAGCATCCAGGTCCTGTACAACGACACCTTCTCTGGCCTCACCAGCCTCACCTACCTCGACCTCTCAAACAACAAGATAGTCTTCCAGTACAATAATGATTTCACCAACAGTCCCTCAACACTGTCATTAGAGGCGGCCGCTGGTCCCTCCTCCTCCTCCTCCCGCCGTGTCCCGCCTCACACTCCCGTCAATATGGTCAGATTGACTCAACAAAATGGTCGTCACAAGCGTCACACTCAAGAGATCGATAAATTACTCGACAATGGTTATTCGACGACCTGGGTGACGGTGATCAAGAGGAGTACTAGTAGCGTGAGGCAACAGCAACAGGCCCAGACACCCCTTGGGGCTCGCGGTGCACAACCTAAATTTTATCTTCCGTTTCAAGGACTCCACTCTGTCTCACACCTTGATTTGTCAGAAAATGAAATACGGACAATAATTCCTGAGCTATGGGAGGACCTCCATGAACTGTCTTATCTGAATCTGGACTCTAATAACATCGCCGCCTGGAATGTACCTAACTTCTACAACCAAACTAATCTGTCAGTACTCTCACTACAGAGGAACTCACTCATTCACCTGACGAAGGCAATGGTTAAGGATTTCAGTACAGATAGCCTGGTGACGGTGGACCTTCGCTTCAACGTGTTCCAGTGCGACTGTACCATCGCCAGCCTCAACAACACACTCAACAAAACGCACTTCGTTTCGTGGTCATCTTATCAGTGTTCTGAAGATGGCGACCTGATCTTCTTTCTTGACTACATCGTCAACTCCACCTGCCAGGACACACCAAACAAACCTACCAACCTGACACCCATCAACACCACCACCACCATCCTCGTCAGTATATCCGTCACGCTGTCTCTTCTCCTGGTGGCGGTAACAGTGTACAGGAAGCGCTGGTGAGTGTTGGCACAGTCATTACTCACATCTATATACACCAATTGTCATTATCCTCATATACTTAAAATTAACAGAGTGTCATTAATAATTCTTCACAACAAGACACATTTACCAAACATGTGAGAGCATTCTAAAGTCCAGGAAAATCTATATAAATTTCCTTACAAAAATCTGCAAAAGAAATCTAGTCAGTAACTCTAAAGATGATTTATCAAAAGACCGTAAAGCTGTGAGGTCTCTGGGTGCTTCTTGTCTCTCACTCTCATCATTCCCCGTGTTTAATTAACTTACTTTCTTATATATTATTAAGTAAACACACAGTAGCCTGCACTTTTACCTGATACAGTAATTGGCGCGTTTTATGAGATGTGGCAACACTGTGGCTACTATTACGAGCTTCCTTAGGGCCATTCTGGGAAGTTCAATACAATGTAAACAAACACAGAGTTGCCACATCTCATAATATGCGCCAGACACTGTACCAGGTATAAGTGTAGGCGACTGTACATACGCTCATTGCCTCCTTCAGGTACGTTCGGTATGTGATGTACAATATACGGGTGAGGATGGCGGTGCAGAAGGAGGACTCAGACCAGTACCTGTATGACACCTTCGTCTGCTACTCCCAGGCCGACCGTCAGTGGGTGTTCGAGCATCTCTTGGTCAAACTGGAGGATGGTGGAAGGTCAGTGGTCACGTGGTTAGTTTATGGGTTGTGAGAGAATATCATGGATCTCTCTCTCTATCTATCATCTATCTATCTATGTCTACTATACCCTATCTCTCTTTCTACACAAACAGACGAGAGATTATTGGTAAAACAAAACCTATTTCTATCATAATAACTCTTGTAAAAGGTTTTGTGTTGTAACTTAATGCTTTAGGTTAACAATTAAAAAATTCGAGTAATTAGTGTTAATTAATGACCTTTGAAATAATTAAACATATTAGATTACTGTATTTAAAACGTCAATTACGTTGTGCCGGTATTTTTTTAAATCACCATTATATTCAGTTTCTTAAATACAGTTATATAGACTAGTTTTACTTTATAAATACGTTATTTTTCACTTTCCAAAATATGTCGTTTGACGCCACAAATACTCTTGACCTAATACCTTGGTTTTCGACACCTTGGGTAAAAAAAAGGATTTTGTTTAAATTCCATACAAAGGTACTACTTTACATGCTAATTAACACAGGGAAATAGGTGTTGTAAGATACTGTACATAATACTGTAATGTATGTATGTATGTGCGTAAACAGGTATCTGATCATCATGTACACACAGGTACCGGGTGTGTGTGCACGAGCGAGATTTCACAGTGGGTCAAGAGATAACTCAGAACATTATCAACAGTGTCGAGCGTTCACGTAAGGTAAGTGTCCCAGTGCCTCCGTTTCCCCTTCCTTCTCTCTCTCTGTTACGACCTCTTACAACCCCTACCACCTCCCTCCCTCCCTCCCTACCCACCCTCCCTTACGACCCCTACCACCTCCCTCCCTCTGTTATTATTACCAGCACCTCTCTATCTATCACGATCAGACAAATAAACAAACACACAGTCTATTCCCTTTATGTACAGTATACACATAAAATACACACACATGTATTTCGGTCAATCTACTGAGTCAATGATCACATATATAGTTTAATAGTGGTAAGTGATGAACGAGAGTAGTGCCATGCGGGTGAAAGGTGAACTATTATTAAGTGTTGTGACTGAGGCGTAATTGTATCCCTCAGGTGATCGTGGTGCTGTCGCCGTCCTTCGTGGAGAGCAGCTGGTGTATGTTTGAGCTACAGATGGCCACCAACAAGATACTGGACGAGAAGAAGAGTAAGTTAATCCTGCTGCTGCTAGAGGTCATCCCGTCGGGGAGTCAACCTAAGAAACTCCGGCTGTTGCTCAAGACCCGGACCTACCTGGCCTGGGTGACGGACGCCGAGGGGCAGAAGTTGTTTTGGTCAAGGTTACTGAAAGCCATAACCAAACCTCTGACCACTGAGCCGCCCAACTCCACGTCCTACATGTAGCATCGAGCCTTTCCCGCTGGGCCAGGTCTCACCCAGCGCTCACTTTATGGAGATTACCTCAAGATAAACACTGCCGATACCTCTTGAGCATTATAGAATATTAGTTTGGGTACCACGATACCCACAAGTGACTGAAAATGGGGGAATGTGAGACCGCGTAAGTACAAAGAATGTGAGATAATAAGATAATAAGGGACTTCTAATACATTCCATGGCATAAGGAAGTGATCATACCCGTCTCGACCAATCACATCATGGGGGTGGGGGAGGGGAAGGATGTATAACCTGCCAATTAGAGACACAAAGGCTAATGGGCGACCTGGTGTCTCCTCCCTGGCACCACTGCTCACCACTTCCCTCCTCTCATCAAGACCTATACCACTCCACCCATGTACTCTGGGCTCTCATAGACTCCAGTTTGTGTTATGATCATGTACAATACAGTGTGGTGTTTACACCCGTACAGTAAGGTCAGTGTATAGATAGCAGTGGTGTCCTTAAAATAAAGACCCACTTATATATAGGAATGTGCCATTTAAGTTTAAAAGAGACTTAATTGTACTACAGTAGATGGGGGTAAGGGTTTATAGGATCACATGAAGATTAAACACCCTAATGCTAACCTAACCTAACCTAACCTAACCTAACCTAATCTAACCTAACCTAATCTAACTCCCCAGTTCTTCAGCGTTGGTATAGAATGTTACAAGTTCTTAATGATATAATTATATACTCTTGTAGACGAGCCTTGAAGGATGGCATTAAGAAAAAGAGAAACGTGTGTGTGTGTGTGTGTGTGTGTGTATGTGTGTGTGTGTGTGTTTGTGTGTGTGTGTGTGTGTGTGTGTTTGTGTGTGTGTGTGTGTGTGTGTGTGTGTTGGATGAATGGATGGTTCTCCTCCGGCTGTGGTGTTATTACAGTACACAGAGACACGCTGCCTCTATACTACCCAACCTAACCTCATTCTACCTTAGACCTATTTTTACCCTACACTGTCCTCACTCTCTCCTCACTCTAACATCACTCTCTCCTCACTCTAACATCACTCTCTCCTCACTCTAACATTACACACTCTCCTCTAACATTACACACTCTCCTCACTCTAACATCACTCTCCTCACCCCAACAACACACACCTCCCTCACTCTAACATTACACACTCTCACACTCTAACACACACACTCTCCTCACTCTAACATCACTCTCTCACACTCTAACATCACTCTCTCCTCACTCTAACATTACACACTCTCCTCACTCACACACACTCTCCTCACTCTAACATCACTCTCCTCACTCTAACATTACACACTCTCTCACTCTAACTTCCTCTCCTCACTCTAACATTACACTCTCCTCACCTAGCATTACACTCTCCTCACTCTAACTTCACACTCTCTCCTCACTCTAACATCACTCTCTCCTCAATTTCAACTTCACCTCTCCTCACCTTCAACTCTCACCTCTCCTCACTCTAACAACACTACACTCCTCACTCTAGCATTACACTCTCCTCACTCTAACTTCACTCTCTCACTCTAACTTCACTCTCTCCTCACTTCCTCAACTTCACTCTCTCACTCATCACTCTCCTCACCTAACTTCATTCCCCCTCACTCTAACTCACTCTTTCCTCACTCTAGCACCTCACTCTAACATTACACTCCCTCCTCACTCTAGCATTACACTCTCTCCTCACTCTAACTTCACTCTCTCCTCACTCTAACTTCACTCTCTCCTCACTCTAACATTACACTCCCTCCTCACTCTAACATTACACACGCTCCTCACTCTAACATCACTCTCTCCTCACTCTAACATCACTCTCTCCTCACTCTACATCAACGCTGTGACCGCCTGTTTCACCTGCCTAAGCTATATGGTTGACTAAGCTGACGTGTGGAGGTACAGATCGATATAGTTTCAAAGGTACATAATGGTGAATCTCATTATTGTGTATTGTTATAATGCTCGCTAAGTCATGGCAACAGTCCTTAACACCGTCAAACACACACACACACACACACACACACACACACACATACATACATACATACATACATACATACATACACACACCTGTAGGATCAAGCTTTCGTCCCTCCACTTAACACACACACACACACACACACACACACACAGCTGTAGGAGACATTGAAATATATGAGATTATTATAGTACAATGGTAAGGCATAAAACCCTGGTGATATATTAATAAAAAAAAACTGAAGAAATTTAACCTGTAATTCCTGTGGAACAATGTGAAGCAGTGAAGACATTTGGTGGAAGAACTTTTACTTAGCGTTGGACAGTGAGGTGAGGGCAGAGAGGTGAGGACAGTGAGGTGAGGAGTACAGGTGAGGACAGTGAGGTGAGGACAGTGAGGTGAGGAGTAGTGGTGAGGACAGAACACCTTATTAGTGACGAGATATGACAGGTGGAAACAAAAGGTGTGATCACTTTATACAGGGGATGTGTTGAACAGAGATCAGTAAGTACCGCTGTTTTGGACCACTGTGAAAGCAACTGCTGGTCGTCGGTGATAATAACGCTGGAATCATCACACAAACATATACCCCTGTGACTCGTGGTTCAGAAGGTGTTGAGGCGACGCACTATGTGACAAGTCTTCCTCTCCTGGACCACCACTGAACGAAATACTGTACATGTATATATAGTGTTTGAAAATATAAAAAACAAAAACAAAATAAACTGTGGTGATATTATCGTCAATATTAAACTTTAACAAAATATTTTTCTCCTAAGTGGATCAACTAAGAGTCAAAACATATTAGAAAAAAATATATTATATCTTTTGTGACGAATTCCCAAAACATTATTGTATTTACTAAGTCACTGTATATTTCACATATCCTTCTGTATATAGCTGTAACCTCCCCACGCACCTGCCTACCTAAACACAGAGTCAAGTGGCACTGGTGGGGTCTGGCACTTATTCTGGCCTTCTCTGTAACCCACGAGGCCAAGTGGTAGCCAAAACACAAGATCCTTAAAACCCTTAAAACTGAAGCTATGAAATATTTGACGTATGTTTGAAGGGTTGATAGCGTTAGGGCAACAGATCATGGGGGCCTTGTACTGTCACTTATCTCTCCAACACGGTGCTCCTTGGTGCTGGAGAAGGGTTAAGTTATACCTTGGCTTCGTCTATGCTGGTGTGTTGCTCCGGGTACTGGACACACATACACATAGGCCAACATGGTCTCTCTTATTGTCTTAGGAGTAATACCTGAGAATACTGGTTATGATTATTATTATTATTATTATTATTATTGTTATTATTATTATTATTATTATTATTATTATTATTATTATTATTATTATTATTGTTATTATTATTATTATTATTATTATTATTATTATTATTATTATTATTATTATTGTTATTACTATTATTATTATTATTATTATTATTATTTTTTTTTTTTTTCATTATCGTTATTATTATTATTATTATTATTATTATTATTATTATTATTATTATTATTATTATTATTATCAATATTGTTTTTATAATTACTAATATATAAATATATATTTAATTACATATAAGTGGGCAAAACAGTGTGTTTTATTTTCCCTACAAAACACTTGGTAAGTTTTAATATTCACCTGTAGAAAAAATCATACCAAGTCTAGCATCTGTGAACAAATTACGGTAGCGGCAAACCGGACACATTATCTTTAAATACTGAAGCAAATGAGGCGTCTGCAAAAACATAAGGAGAGACAACGTGTGCGTCATGAAGATTCTTTAAACGTGGCGGCGGCTGGCTGGTCAGAGAAGAACCTGAATAATGATTTAATAATGCTAAAGAAGTTTTAAAGAGGCGCATTTAGTGTTATATTTTAATTTATTATTGTTTCGAGATTTATTTAAAATTTAATTGAATATTCAACACCTAATATAATGCTCATTTGAGGACTAACTCGACCAGTGAAGCTCCCAGTGTACCGTGACCTTTAGTCGTTTGGTTGGTATACGTCACTCCATAACCAGACAACCAAATGATTCGTTTACTGCCGCTGCGTCCATCCACTATGTTGTTCGAGCACCTACGAGCCACGACCGAGTTCATCACTCACAGTTAAGGCAGGAAGGACATGGCTATCACACCGTCAACATAGGACGTACAGTCACCTACAAAACTTCTAACTGCATAACTCTCCTGATTGGAGTACTGGTTAGTCCTGGTTATTGTTTCATTAGTAAATAGTTAGGTTTGCGTTTATTTTATAGCCGTAGTTCATATATGACTTTGGAAGATTGATATTTTATATTTTGAAGTTGACACCACTTGGTGAGGAGGAGCAACTTCACAATCTGTCTAAGAGGAAAACTATTTTTTTTTACCTCTTGTAAAATATAAAAATATGGTGGAGGAATTTAAAATTTCTAACTTATTTTTTGTGATTTTTTTCGTCCTGAACTATGACTTATTTAAGTCAGCTCTGAGAGACCAACGTTTCATTGTTTATATTGCCGTTTCCTTTCCATAAACACAAAAAACCAGTCACAACATATAGTAATAATATAATAATAGCATTAAAATAAAATAATGATAATATTAATGTTAATTTACCAACAAACATCAATAATTTACGGTAATTTTCTTCTTATTAGTTCGGTACTACTTAAATAACCCGTAGTACATTTCTCCCGTAGCGACAACGATATATGGTCAATAAAGATAACCTAACCTAACCTAACCTAACCTTGGATGGGTGTACATTATTCTTGCTCAGGTTAGGTTACGTTAAGGTGTTATTTAGTTACCTTATTATCAGTAGGGGGAGGGACTATATCGACCAAGTGGCCAGAATCATATTAAATTCTAGTCAACAAAATCATCGAACAAATACAAGTAATAAAGAATTCCTCCGTCGTTTTTAATATATTCAAGAAATAATAAAGACGTTTTCCTTTATAGATAATATTAATAAAATTACGAATCGGTGTGATAAATTATTACCTTCAGTTGTCCATGGTCGGTGACGTTCTGAACACAACGAAGGGAATAAAGAGAGGGAGATGATATATTGGTGGACGAAAATAAAGTCACAAGAAAAAAGTTCGTGTGGACAGTGAGGGATGGTGGCAAGTGTGGTTAATGAGAGAGTGTGGTTAATGGGAGAGTGTGGTTAATGAGAGAGTGTGGTTAATGAGAGAGTGTGGTTAATGAGAGTGTGGTTAATGAGAGTGTGGTGAAATTGCTTCCTCTAGTTATGTTATGAACCTATATAACACTACAGTACCTATAATACCTCCACCATTTGCATTGATTTAACATTACTATATCAATACTGTTTACTGAATATCATTTAATTAGCCGAGGTTGCAGTGGTCAGTGTCTATAATGATTGTTTGTGTATAAATGGTATTTAACGTGAGCGAATAAGGTGGTTGGCAAGTTAATCGTCTCAATTGTTACTGATTATCTTACTAATTAAAGAGTTGTCTATTCCTCTGTAAAAATGTGTAGCGAGAATCTTATATTTGCCCAGACTGTTGTTGCACATGAAGAATATTGACGAGTCTCCTATAAAATGAATTTCTTTTAAGTCATAGAAAACGTCTTTTTTTTTTACGTGTTTAAGGATAACTATTTTACACGCAAGTGACCACACAACAAGAGGGAAATATAATACCAGCGGAATTTTATATTATTTCCGACCAGATTGGGACGTATGGGTGACTTACAAATTTGAAGGAACATTTTTTTCATATATTTGTATTGGAAGGAACGACGTATAATTCTTATTTATTTATTTATTTTTTGCAATGACTATATTTATTGACGGTGGTGATATATATTTTGTTTAATGTGATAAGGTATTTATAGCGTGGTGTACAGCTGTTAGTGGTGTATAGCTGTTAGTGGTGTACAGCTGTTAGTGGTGTACAGCTGTTAGTGGTGTATAGCTGTTAGTAGTGTATAGCTGTTAGTGGTGTATAGTTAGTGGTGTACAGCTGTTAGTGGTGTATAGCTGTTAGTGGTGTATAGCAGTTAGTGGTGTACAGCTGTTAGTGGTGTACAGCTGTCAGTGGT